ATTACAATGCCACATCAGCATCTGTTGAACAAAAAACCACTAAGACAATGTCGTTCAATTAAGGGCTAAAAGGTAACTTCATTTTTCTGTTAACGACTGCTTCACGGCTGGTCACTGAGTGCAACAAATTGATAATTTAGGAGGTTAAGGTTTTGCTTACTTCAGGGGGTTTCTTGCAATAGGATCATAGTTCAGGAGAGTCTTACGCTAGTATTTCTTTACTTCCCATTCTTACTCCTCTTTAACAAATTAATTATAAACAAATTTCTTATAAACAAGAGGTTATATTATTGCGTTTAAGAAATTTCTTATAAACAAATTAATTAAAGCAATTCATATAATAGAGAATATTATAGAAGCAAATCTAAGCTTGATGACTTCAAGTAATTCACTAGGGATAGAATATAAATAGAAGCAAGTCTAGTCCACAGCTTTGCTCCATGCAATTGAAAGATGTGGAGTTGTCATCCACATCAATAAACCTGACACCCTCGTCAATAAACTTCATTCATCTCTTCAGTATCTGACATAAATAGAAGAAGACTAGATTAAGGAATTATAAATTTGACGTTAAAGGGAGGTGTTTGAGAATAAATCAAAATCTTGAGCAACAATTATGAATAAGTCAAACTTTTAATTTTAATTTTTCAAGTCGGCTATGTCTCCCTCTAACAAAGAAAAAAAGTATGTCATAAAGTGCTAATCACTTAATCATCCATGCAGTTTTTTGAATCTATATAATAATAAAGTCAGTGGAATTTAGGATGCTTAGAAAATAATCCATTTTGTTCCGTGTTTGCATAGTTTAACAATGCTGAACAACTATGTTGGAGTTTTTGTAAATGGAATGTAAACATAAAGGTGAATAATACCACACATGAAAACATAGGTCAATTTGAAAAAATATTATTGTGTACATACAAGTGTTGTTTATACACATGTTAATCACAATTTTCTTTTAACCCACTTGGAATGGAAGAGATGGCGCAAATAAAGAAAAAGACAGAAAAACCAAAGTATGCAACCAAGAATAAGAGAAGTAGGTAATAAAACTCTTCTGAGTTATATTATTGTGTTTAAAAAATTCAAACATAATTTAATCTAGGATATAAATTAAAAATATCTAACAAAAAAATCAAGCTCGGAAGGGCCACAAAAAGACTGGGTCGTCGGGTTTGTAATCCTGACCAGATCCATGGCTACGATGTAAAACCTGTGCAACTTTAGCTAACAACATCTGATGGTCAACATGAGGCTTGAATCAAGATTTGAAAGCTTGAGAAAAAGAAAAGAAAAAAGAAAATAAAGAGGGGAGGAGAGAACTGCCGGGGAGAGAGAGATAGAGAGAGAAAAGTGAGAAAATTGAACAATTCATATGATTAGTAATCCAACACTAACCAAATAATTTTAGTGCATTAGAAACTTAAAACTTAAAATTGAACAAATGAGGCATTAGAAACTTAAAACTGGACAAAAGAGGCATTACACTATGTAAAAGATTATCCAAATATATCATTTGAACTTAATGTGATTTTTCCAAATAGATCATTTGGTCCTCCTTTTTCAAATAGATCATCCCAAATGGGTGTGGTTTTCCCAAATAGAACATTCGAACGGGATGCGATTTTCCCAAATAGATCATTCGAACTAGATACGGTTTTTTTCGGGGCATCAAATTCCTATAAAACGCATCAAATTAATTAGCCATATATATATATATATATGTATATATATAGAGAGTGTGTTAAAATATACTGAAAATGTAACTTTTTCGCTTTCTTTAACTATTTGACGGCACACGCCTCCCTCATAGATGTATTTCAGTCTATTTCCTTGCTGGTACAGAAGAGCCATGGAAGGCAGAAGCCATACTCCAAAATTAACAGAATTGGTAAAACAGAAGAAACCCTAACCCTAACCTTATAAGAAATATGAGAATGATATTGGTATTTGATAGATCTTATTATATATATGTATACCCTTCTTCTGGGCCCTTCTGTTTGGGCCGTGAAGCCTTACTAAAATTGGGTTAGGGTTATCTCACCTAATTTTCTATAAAACTCTATCACATATGTAATAAATTATTACCTAATAAAATTCAAATCATACTAAATTTTAAATTACTTAATAAAATTCAAATTACAAATTGCCTAATAAAATTTAAATCTGTTACCTACTAAAATTCAAATTACCTACTAAAATTCAAATTATTACCTACTAATCTTTTACATAGTGTAATGCCTCTTTTGTCCAGTTTTAAAACTTAAAACCACATCTTTTGAACTAAATGCGGTTCTCCCAAATATATTGTCTAAGAAAAAACAATTATCTAAATAATAAAACCTCTAGTCTTTTAAAAATTAATTTTTTTTTTTAATTTCATTCAAAAGTTCTAATGGCCTAAAATATTGTCATTCAAAACTATTTTTTCTTTTGTTACCAAACACATTTAAAATAAAACTTAAAAAATAAAAATGTTATAACGTCCTTCAATGGCAATCCCAGTTATTAGACCCACTTTCCAAATAATAGTTTAGAAATTGCTTAGGCTAAGGAATTTATTTCAAAATCAAAATTGATCATTGTCTTCTTTGAGATTTACTTCACCTAATCATCATACCAAAATGTAGGCATTTTTTTTTTTTTTTTCAAAAGGCATTACACTATGTAAAAAATTATTCAAATATATCATTTGAACTGAATACGGTTTTCCCAAATAGATCATTCGAACTGGATGCGATTTTCTTATAATGCCTCCTTTGTTCTATTTTAAAACTTAAAACCGCATCTTTTGTCCAGTTTTAAGTTTCTAATGCATCCTTTGTTCAATTTTAAGTTTTAAATTTCTAATGCACTAGAACTATTTGGTTGGTGTTGGATTACTAATAATATGAATTGTTCAATTTTCTCACTTTTCTCTCTCTATCTCTCTCTCCCCGGCAATTCTCTCCTCCCCTCTATATTTTCTTTTTTCTTTTCTTTTTCTCAAGCTTTCAAAGCTTGATTCAAGCCTCGTGTTGACCATCAGATGTTGTTTGCTGGAATTGCATAGGTTTTACATACCAGCCATGGATCTAGTCAGGATTACAAACCCAACGACCCAGTATTTTTGTGGCCCTTCCAAGCTTGAATTTTTTATTAGATATTTTTAATTTATGTCTTATAGATTAAATAATGTTTGAATTTTTTAAACGCAATAATATAACTCAAAAGAGTTTTATGACCTACTTCTCTTATTCTTGGTTGCATACTTTGGTTCTTCTGTCTTTTTCTTTATTAGCGCCATCTCTTCCATCCCAGGCGGGTTAAAAGAAAAATGTGATTAACATGTGTATAAACAATAGTTGTATGTACACAATAATATTTTTTCAAATTCACCTATTTTTTCATGTGTGGTATTCTTCACCTTTATGTTTACATTCCATTTACAAAAAACTCCAACATAGTTGTTCATCATTGTTAAACTATGCAGACATGGAACAAAAAGGATTATTTTCTAAGCATCCTGAATTCCACTAGCTTTATTATTATATAGATTCAAAAAATTGCATTGATGATTAAATGATTAGCACTTTATGACATACTTTTTTCTTTCTTTCTTTTTTTTTCTTTTTTCTTTTTTTTTTGAGAGAGAGAGACAAAACCGACTTGAAAAATTAAAATTGAAAGTTTGACTTATTCATAATGGTTGCTCAAGATTTTGATTTATTCTCAAACACCTCCCTTTAACATCAAATTTATATCCTTAATCTACTCTTCTTTTATTTATGTCAGACACTGAAGGGATGAATGAAGTTTATTGACGAGGGTGTCAGGTTTATTGATGTGGATGACAACTCCACATCTTTCAATTGCATGGAGCAAAGCTGTGGACTAGACTTGCTTCTATATATATTCTATCCCTAGTGAATTACTTGAAGTCATCAAGCTTAGATTTGCTTCTATAATATTCTCTATTATATGATTTGCTTTTATTAATTTGTTTATAAGAAATTTCTTAAATAAGTAATTTGTATTAAAGTTTTATACAAACTCTTTTTATATCAATTAATAAGTAATTTGAATTTTATTAAGTAATTTAAAATTTAGTATAAATTTGAATTTTATTAGGTAATTTGAAATTTAGTACGTAATAATTTATTTTATGTGATAGAGTTTTATAGATTTAAATTTTAGTAGGTAATTTGTAATGTGAATTTTATTAGATAATTTAAAATTTAGTATGATTTAAATTTTATTAGGTTATTATTTATTACATATGTGATAGTTTTATAAAAAAATTAGGTGAGAAGAAACCCTAACCCAATTTTAGTAAGGCTTCACAGCCCAAACAGAAGAGCCCAGAAGAAGGGTATACATATTTCTAATATGATTAGGGTTAGCGTTTCTTCTGTTTTACCAATTCTGTTAATATGGCTTCTGGCTTCCATGGTTCATTTGTACCAGCAGAAACGGGAGTATGGCTTCTAGCTTCCATAGCTCTTCTGTACCAGTAGGAAATAAACTGAAATACAACTATACAACTATGAGGGAGGCGTGTGCCGTCAAATCGTTAAAGAAAGCGGAGAAATTATCTTTTCGGTATATTTTAACATACTCTCTCTATATATATACATATATAAATATGTATATGTATGTATATATATATGTGTGTGTGTGTGGCTAATTAATTTGATGCGTTTTATAGGAATTTGATGTCCTGAAAAAAATTACATCTAGTTCGAATAATCTATTTGAGAAAACCGCACCCATTTGGGATGATCTATTTGAAAAAGGAGCACCTAATGATCTATTTGGGAAAATCGCACGCAGTTCGAATGATATATTTGGATAATCTTTTACATAGTGTAACACCTCTTTTGTCCAGTTTTAAGTTTCTAATGTCTCGTTTGTTCAATTTTAAGTTTTAAGTTTCTAATGCACTAGAATTATTTGGTCAGTGTTGGATTACTAATCATATGAATTGTTCAATTTTTTCACTTTTCTCTTTATCTCTCTCTTCCCGACAATTCTCTCCGCCCCTCTTTATTTTCTTTTTTCTTTTCTTTTTCTCAAGTTTTTCTTCTGTTTTACCAATTCTGTTAATATGGCTTCTGGCTTCCATGGTTCTTTTGTACCAGCAGGAAACGGGAGTATGGCTTCTAGCTTCCATGGCTCTTCTGTACCAGCAGGAAATAGACTGAAATACAACTATACAACTATGAGGGAGGCGTGTGCCGTCAAATAGTTAAAGAAAGCGGAGAAATTATCTTTTCGGTATATTTTAACATACTCTCTCTACATATATATATATATATGTATATGTATATATATGTGTGTGTGTGTGTGTGTGGCTAATTAATTTGATGCATTTTATAGGAATTTGATACCCCAAAAAAAATCGCATCCAGTTCGAATAATCTATTTGGGAAAACCGCACCCATTTGGGATGATCTATTTAGAAAAGGAGCACCGAATAATCTATTTGGAAAAACCCCATGCAATTCGAATGATATATTTGGATAATCTTTTACATAGTGTAACACCTCTTTTGTCCAGTTTTAAATTTCTAATACCTCCTTTGTTCAATTTTAAGTTTCTAATGCACTAGAATTATTTGGTCGGTGTTGGATTACTAATCATATGAATTGTTCAATTTTCTCACTTTTCTCTCTCTATCTCTCTCTTCCCTGCAGCTCTCTCCTCCCCCCTTTATTTTCTTTTTTCTTTTCTTTTTCCCAAGCTTTCAAAGCTTGATTCAAGCCTCATGTTGACCATCGGATGTTGTTAGCTGGAATTGCACAGGTTTTACATCCCAGCCATGGATCTGATCAGGATTACAAACTCGATGACCCAGTCTTTTTGTGGCCCTTCTGAGCTTAAATTTTTTGTTAAAATATTTTTAATTTATATCCTAGATTAAATAATGTTTGAATTTTTTAAACGCAATAATATAAGGAAGAGTTTTATGACCTACTTCTCTTATTCTTGATTGCATACTTTGGTTCTTGTCTTTTTCTTTATTAGCGCCATCTCTTCCATTCCAGGTGGGTTTAAAAAAAATATATGATTAACATGTGTATAAGCAATAGTTGTATTTACACAATAATATTTTTTCAAATAATTGACCTATATTTTCATGCGTGTAATATTCTTCACCTTTATGTTTACATTTCATTTACAAAAACTCTAACGTAGTGGTTCAACATTGTTAAACTATGCAGACATGGAACAAAATGAATTATTTTCTAAGCATCCTGAATTCCACTGACTTTATTATTATATAGATTCAAAAAATTGCATGGATGATTAAGTGATTAGCACTTTATGATATACTTTTTTTCTTTGTTATAGAGAGACATAGCCGAACGCCGAACGGTGCAAGTATTATTACTCTTAATTAAGAATAGTGATACTCACACCGAACACTTACAATAAATTGCCTAACCGAATCATTTTTAATTAGTTATTTATACCAAAAACAAATATATGGAGTGTTCTACTTCCTTATTTGTTACACCAAACCTAACCGAATAATTATTAATTGATTATTTATACCAAATACAAGTAAATGAAGGGTTCCACTTCCTTATTTGTTACACCGAACGCTTACTATGAATTAGACCTATGAATTGTCTAACCGAATAATTTTTAATTCGTACTTATACCAAATACAAATAAGTGGAGGGTTCAACTTCTTTATTTGTTACATAATTGACCAATTAAAATAGTAGATCCAGCAACTCATTGCAACTATTCGGTGCAAGAATCATTTCTCATTAATTAAATGTCTCCTGAGACATTTAAAATATAAAATTATACTACAAAAATATCATTTTAATTATTTATTCTCTCTTCACTTGTAGAGCATGTATATATATAAACACCTTTTTTCTTCTTCTTCTTTTTTTCTTTTTTTTTTTTTTTTTTTCTTTCTCTCTCCTCATAGTATACATCTACGTGTATATAGCTTACTATACATATATAGTAATTATATAAACATTTGGCATATAGCTAAAGACAAATAAAAAAAGAAAGAAAAGAATCCATAAATATATATATATGGAGAGAGAGAGAGAGAGAGAGAAAATAATCATAATTCATTACGAGAATGTTATTGATATATTAATACACACGTGTTTACATATGTATATGAATCAATTTAGGAGAGAAAAAAAAGTTAAAATGACACTTTTGTCCTATAAATTTATATTTTAAATGTCTCGTAATGATAGGAGACATTTAATTAATTTTAGGAATCTTAACCAATTAGGATAAGTGGATTAACTACACTCACGAGTTTATGCCTTGCCCTCAACATGCATGCAAGGTTTGTATCTCACTTTGATTAATACGTGTCATATTCTTAAGGTAATTTGCCTGGGACAATAAAATGGGCAAAGTACAAATATCCCCCCATAGACTTGTAATTTGGATCAAAATGTCATTTTATTTAAATCTTAATTTTTTCGAACTTTAAAAATTCATATCTTACAAACGTACATCCAAATATTACAAATAATATATGCACTAAAAGCTTCTAAAAACAATAATTCCATAAATATAAGATTTGTTGACAATCTAAAAATCTACTCTAACAATCTTATATAATTATTCTTTAATGCTGCTTAAATATGTCTTTTAAGTTTATTCTCTCTCTCCATAAATGTTGTTGTGCCTTAAATAAATTATGGTTGCTCAACAAACTTCTCTACTTTCTCAATTACAGTCTCTCTTTGAATTCAAAGCATGCAGGTTATCAAAAAATCAATAATCACAACAGCAGCAATAAGAAAGAGAGTGTTGAGAATACTAATCAATAAGAATACTAATAAATGTAATGGCACACTATAATAAATTGATAATCAATTAATCACACTTTTAAATACGTTATCCAATATGGCATACACAACAAAAAGAAGTTTTTTTTTTTTTTTTGCAAAGATATCATTTTGTGGTGTACATGGTAACAAAAAGAAGTTTTTTTTTTTTGATAATTGTGTCAAATTTATTTTAATTTTTATTTATGTAACAATACGTGATTGGTGGAGCAATAATATTACAAATATAAAAGTTTAAAATGGCATCCACTAGAATTGGATGGCACTGTTCCCCCCCCTCTCTCTCTCTCTCTATATATATATATATATATTAACACAGTAAAGTGAAAAAGACAAGGAAAGACAGCTTATACTTACATAATTAATTATATTTAATTATTATCTCCATTTATAATTCAGAATATCCATGCATTTAATGTAGTTATAGTGGGAGTGATTTTATATCAGCTAAAACCTCGTTACAAGCTAGCTGGCATATTGCAGCGAGGCTAAGGTATATCTCTCCCACTGAACTTGAAGAATTTCGATCCCTCTCCTTAAATAAAGTATGGTTGCTGCTAGCTTAAATATGTGTTTAAGTTTATTTTCTCTCTCTCTCCATAAATGTTGTGTCTTAAATAAAGTTGTTGCTCAACAAACTTCTCTCTCCTCAATTACACTATCTCTTTGAATTCAAAGCAGGTTATCAGAAAACCAATAATCACAACCAGAGCTATACGAAGAGAGAGAGACAGGGATTGAGAGCTATATGTACTACGTACATAGTTGATGATGTCAACGTTGTAAGTGCATTTGATTTGAGCACAGCTGCGCAAGAAATTAATGTATTGGTGCATACATTTACTCTTATCATTATTATAACAGCCTTTATTCTACTCTTTTGCTGCCCTGTATTACTCAAAAGGTTCAATTGCAGATATATAATTTCAAAATTTCAGCCAATAGTACTATTCCACTCTCTCTCTCTCTCTCTCTCTATATATATATATGTGTTCTCTTTATATCTCCTGACAATATATTTTTTTTCCTGGTGGTGTGGACCTCTTTAGAACACTCACTTTCTAAAATAAGTGCTCCATAGGATGTTTTTGTTTTTGATAAGTAAAAAATGCATTGAAGGCGTTCAAAAGGAAAACGCATCCCAAGAGAACAAACACAGGGCCAAAACAACCCTTTAAGCCTTCAAAGAGACCAAGAAAACAACAATATCCTCACAAGATCTAAAATCTCTACCCGAAACCTAACAAAAAAGAGTGGAAAGAATAGAGAACTTAAGAAAAGAAATAGGCCTCTCCTTTCTCTCAAAATATCTTTTATTCCTCTCCAGCCAGATGCACCACCACACACAAAGAGGCGTAGCCCTCCAAGCATCACGAGCATGGGCCCCTACAGAGAACCCTCTCCAAGCCTCAACCATCTGTCTAGAGGAGCGAGGCATAACCCAATAGAACCCAAACAAACAAAGCATCAAGTCCCAACATTCCTTAGCCACGGGGCAATGAAGAAGAAGATGATCCATAGGTTGTTATATGAGCCTTTCAATGACTTTTTAATACAAATCATAATAATATAGAAACATAGCTGTGTTGGGTAACGTTGATTTTTTGCATTAAAATTAGAACTTAGATTGAAAAAAAAAATTTAAAAATTCAATTTCAAGACATCAATTTCTTACTACCAATGATAACATCAATAAATTTTGTTGTAAATTTCACAAGATTTAGTGAGGAAATTCTACACTCACACTGACACACACATATATATACACACACACTAGTAAGATGTTCACTTCAATACCGAAATCAATATTTGAGAGATGGAAAATAACCTTAAACTTTCTTTAAATAAAAAAATAAAACAAAAAATGAACACAAATTGCAAATAACCTTAACTTTCTTTAAAAAAAAAAAAAAATGAAACAGAAAATAAAAATCAACATAAAACCACCTACTCTTTTCCAAAACCCCCCATTCCAATTACTCATTTTGCAAGAATCAAACCTATATTAAAATTACAAAATTTTATCCACGCAAGAGAATTTCTGAAATATATGGAAAGTTGAAATATAAATATTTTAAAGTATTTTAATTCACAACTTACCAATAACGGAAGAAAAAAAAACCAATTTGCATTTACAACTTATCCTAAAATCAAATGAGAACAATATAATAACAGAAAGTAAAAAGAATTAATTTGATGCTAAAAAAAAGGTTAGTTGCCAATTGATGTGAAAGCATGCAAAACCTAAACAAATAATATATCAGCAAAGAATAATAGGAATTAGATACCTGATGATTGAGGAGACATGGCTAACCCTTGAAATCGCACAACTATAAGAACCCTAATAGAGACTACCAAAGTTCCTTTTGTTCTCTCTCTCTCACCTATACATATATTAAAAAAAAATCAGCACAAGAATTTTGGGTTACAAAAAAATAACTTAAAAAAAATAAAAAAGAAGCCCGCCCCACCCAGGTTAAATCCCTACTTTCATTGTAAATCCAACTTGAACAAAATTTCACACACACAAGTCATTGCAAGAAAATAAAGTGTTCATCCAATGTCATTCCATCCATTGGACCAAAAAAGAGTCGACCCCAACTATTCATATGGTGCTCAGTGAATGTAATTTTTCTTAGTGTTTACCATGTGTCATTTGAAAAATAAAAAATATATGTCAAACCACTTAATGGTATTTGCTTTTTCGAAGTGAAAGGGTCACATATGCATAATAAAGTATAACATCTGAAATGGTCCCAATGCCACACAGATGCATAAAATTTTGAAACAAATAATTTTTCGCTATAAAAATAGCCCAAATTGACAAAACCCCCAACTTTACTCAATCCCTAACCCTAATTAAACTGAAAACAAAAATCAAACGAAAACACTTGAAAAATCCCCAAATGTAGTCAATCCCTAACCCTAATTAGACCTGATCAGACTGAAAACAAAAGCAATGAAAACATTTGAAAAATTCGTAGTTTGAAAAGAAAATTCAAAAAATATGGAAAGAAGATATGAAAATCACATGGAATACAGCATGCAAAATGAAGAAAATACCGTGCAAAAAAATGGAGAGAAATTAAGAATTTCATGCAAACAAATACAGAGAATCGTAGTAATAAACCTTACCTCTTTCAACTTAAACAACCAAATAATCGCTAGTCCCTTCGAGGCGAGCGAAATAATCACCAGGATGAAAGATTGAAGGGTTCTTGTATGAACCAGAGTCTCTGAAGAACGAGAGAGTGAATGAGAAAGAAATGAACAAGAGAATCGAAGGAAGGGGTGAGTGGAAAAAGATGAACTAGAGAACCCTAATTGAGTAAGCCATGGCGTGGGTCATTGGGAGTGCGGTTGGTTGCGGCGCTCTCACCAATCAAGCAGATGTATAGTGGCTGTGGCCGTGATTATGGTTGAAGACAGTGGCGACAGAGGAGGGGGAAGAGAAGTGGTGGACGGCTGGGCTTGAAAACCCTAATAATTGTGGACAATGTTGTCATTTTATAAGTTGAGATATTTTTTTTTATTTTTATTATTAAAATGAATTATATGTTAAAGGGAAATATTATATTTTCCAGCATTGTTCATAAAAAAAAAAATACCTCATTTGTATACAATTGTTATTATGACAAATATTAAGAAATATCATTATAATTTACCTATATTATATGAAAAGTGGTAGATCTTCCGAACTATTTTTAGGCATTCCAGTTGGATTTAATATATTTATAAAATGATTTTAAATATATTATAGGGTCATTGATGTGTTAGATGTGCTCTGAATGTTAGTGGTTGAATTATGAAATCATTTCTTTCAACTATATGGTTTAAATGCTTGGATTTAATTGCAAATACTTGGATATTGGTTTTGGATTATAAATCGCTAAACGATTATATATATATGTGGAATTTTAATTGCTGAATTAATAGATTCTGTCAATTACATGGTTGTGGAGGATGGTATAAACCGGTATGGGACGGTGTCATACTAGGGATGGTTTAGCTCAAAACGCATAAACCTAACCTATTGGATTTAAGGGAAGGATTGTAAAATATTGAATCCTAAACCTTGTTTAGTCAGATCGACTGATTAAGTTGAAAGACTATCTGGATTAATTGTGTTTGTGTGTAATCGGATCGACTGATTAAGTTGAATGACTACCTGGATTAAATGTTGGTTGTGTTTAAGTCAGATCGACTGATTAAGTTGAATGACTAAACTGGATTAAAATTCTTATGTCAATTCAATAAACAATAAAATGGCATACCTTGGGTTAGACGGATTTTATATATATGTTATGGCACCACGATATGGGCATGAATCTCAGAGTCGTTGGTTAGGGAGCGTATATGCATTGGGATGCATAGCTGGATATGATGGTTGAGGTATACCCTGTTAGGTCTAGGTATTCATGCTCACCTTTGGGTGCGTTTTTGCATGTTGCCTTCTACTCAGGTTGAGACCCCATTATAGTCCAGTGAAGGTCCTCTAGTGTGGATATATTTATGTATGGACTAGATAGATATTGTAAGGTATTTAGGTGTATCTGCGTATCGGGTCTCTGTATGGATTGCAGTTAGATTAGAACTTGTTCGTGGGCCTGACCCACTCTTATTTTTCAGGTATCGGACGGTTCCAGTCTTAGGCTTGATCGTGCTGTGCAGGGATTATCATTCATTCCACCGACGACGTAGGATGTCCTTCCATATTTTAGTATTTGGTTTTATGTCAGTTGGTTACGTTTCAGTTGAGATTTTTATTTAGGGGTCCACTAGATGGATTCCCGAGTTGTAATTCATGGAAGTTTTGGAAGTTGGATTTTATTAAGTTTTATCAGGCTATTGAGGATTTTATATTAGTATTCTGTTCAGCTTTTAATAGTTATTCTTATTTCATTTTTTTTTTCATCTGTGTTCGTTTTAAAATACTTTAATTGTTTGATTTCCCTCGGGTTTGGGCCTGGGCCTGATCAACCCATGTCTCGGAACCGAGGGGTATCACACACCGACACCGGCACCGATAGTTAATGAGGCGCTAGAGTACTTCATGTGACTACAGAAGGTTAAGATTGACCCATTTCCAGGGAGTTTAGATCCGCTAGTCTCAGAAGCTTGGTTGGACCTTATGGTTCGCAAGTTAGACAGTATGGCGGTACCCACGGACAGGTTGAGGATTTCCTTGACTGCTTCTTTGTTCACGGAGGATGCAGATATTTGGTGGAGGTCTATGACCAATGTTTACAATGTTGAGTTGATGACTTGGAACGAGTTCAGGGATTTGTTCTTTGAGCGTTTCTTTCCTAGGGCTATGAGGCGGGAGATGAGGACACGGTTTGCAGGTTTCTATCAGGGCACTATGAGTGTCATTAAGTATGAGACGCGATTTATTTCTCTCTCTCGTTATGCTGAGGATATGGTGGCAACAGACGAGGCCAGGGTAATGAAGTTTCAGCATGGGCTACATCTTGACATCAGGCCACGGGTATCAATTCTTGATTTGAGGACCTACAGGGAAGTGGTTCAGAGGGCTATGCTAGCTGAAGCAGAGGAACGGGATCAGTTAAGGATCAGGGGTTCACATAAGCAGTCTCGCGGAGACAATTCATCATCCTCTGGGAGTCAGTGGAAGAAGGCTAAGGCAGGGAACGGTACTCACTCATAGGGGGCATCACAGCAGAATCGTTCTGCACCTACAGTTCCTGTATCTTCGGGATCAGCTCAGGGAATGGTTTGTTATCATTGTCAGCAGCCGGGGCACATCACGCCTCGTTGCCCACAGCTTCGTCCACAGGCCAGTCAGACATCAGGTTTTACGAAGACAGGGCAGGGAGCTTACTTCTATTGCAAGCAGCCAGGTCATCTCAAGAAGGATTGTCCAAGGTTGTTGAATAAGTCACGTGGTGGCACAGATTCACAGATAGTACTGACACAGTCTGCAGTGGTTCAGTCTGGTTTTAGAGTCCATCAGGCACCACAACCAGTGACGCCAGTTGGCACTTACCCAACCAGGTCTACACCTACTGCTTCTACACATCAGTCAGGCTATCAGGGCAGTTCACAGCAGGGCTCAGGGACTTAGGGACGAGCCTACGTTCTTCCACAGGCATATGCTTCCGCAGGCACCTCTTCAGTTCGAGGTATCTTTCCGGTTTTTAGTTCTTGGACACAAGTTCTTGTTGACACGGGTGCATCACATTCTTTCATTTCTGCATCATTTGCACATTCATTGGGTTTGGAGGTCACACTTTGGGACAGTTTTCTCTGTGTTGACACACCAGTAAGGGGTCCAGTGTCTTTGGATCGTGTTTGTCGAGGTTGTGCTATTGAGATAGGTGGACGAACTTTGGAGTTCGATTTTGTTGTTCTCGACATGACGGGTTTTGACGTCATTCTTGGGATGGAGTGGTTGTCATTCTTTCGGGCTACGATCGATTGCTTCCGCGGGAGGGTGTCTGTTTGCCTCCCAAGGGAGATTGTTTCCATTTTGTGGGAGATCGGAGTGATTCCCACCCGGCAATGGTTTTCAGCATTGGTGACTGGAGTCGCCACAGATCCGACTTAGCTAGTTTGCTAGTTGACGAGGATAGCAGTTCGGGCCGTGTTCTTCCGGCAGTTGTTGAGGATTATGTTGATGTCTTTCTTGAGGAACTGACAAAGTTATCTCCTTTAAGGGAAGTTATTTTTGCCATCGATGTCATTCCCGGTACAACACCCATCTCTATGGCACCGTACCGTATGGCACTGGTAGAGCTTGACGAGTTGAAAGGTCAGTTGGATGATTTGAAAGCTAAGGGCTTTATTCGTCCTAATGCTTCACCATGGGGAGCACCGGTTCTTTTTGCATAGAAGAATGATGGGTCTTTGAGACTTTGCATCGATTATCGCAAGTTGAATCATGCTACGATTAAGAACAGATATCATTTGCTTAGGATTGATGACTTGTTTGATCGGTTGAAGGGATCGACATGCTTTTCGAAGATTGATTTGAGATCAGGCTACTATCAGTTAAGGGTTAAGGATGAGGATATATCCAAGACCGCTTTTCGTACACGGTATGGCCATTATGAGTTTCTGGTGATGCCATTTGGTTTGACCAATGCTCCAGCAGCTTTCATGGACTTGATGAACCGTGTATTCAATGACTATCTTGATAAGTTTGTGGTGGTGTTCGTTGATGACATTCTCGTGTACTCAACTTCAAGGGAAGAGCATGAGTATCACTTGAGAGCAGTTTTACAGATCCTTAGGAATAACCAATTGTATGCCGAGTTCAAGAAATGCGAATTTTGGCTACCAGAGGTGAAGTTCCTTGGACACGTTGTGTCAGGGGGCGGTGTTGCAATGGATCCGTCAAAGATTGAGTCTGTAATGGATTGGGAGCAGCCGAAAACAGTGTTTGAGATTCGAAGCTTTCTTGGCCCAGCCGGCTATTACAGGAGATTTGTTCGGGATTTCTCTCGTCTAGCGGCACCTATGACTCGACTTACTCGCAAAGGAGTCAAGTTCATATGGAATGAGGCTTGTGATTTTGCTTTTCAGAAATTGAAGGTCAGGTTGACATCAGCTCCAGTTTTGATCATACCTGAACGTGGTTTGGGTTACGTAGTCTATTGTGATGCTTTGCGAGAAGGTTTGGGTTGTGTTCTGATGCAGACTGAATGGGTGGTAGCTTATGGGTCTTGACAGTTGAAGACTCACGAATTAAATTATCCGACACATGATTTGGAGTTAGCAGCAGCTTATGTGATTGATTGGAGTTAAATCAATCACATATGCGAACAATCGTCTTTATATTTATTTTTTCTATACCAACTCTTTGTTATATATATATATATATATATATATATATATATATATAATGATAGTAAAATTAAAAATGAGATAAATAAAAGTTATTCCGAAAAAAATTGCTATGGAACTTAAATAAATATTTTTTTTAAATTTCATTTTGTTGTATTAGCTGTGAGATGAAATTAATACTTGGCACTACTGACAAACTTTGTCATTAATTTTATCGGAGAAAGTATCAGCTCAATTATTTTACAACTGCTCAATTCTTCAATATTGTGTATGCTTTTCATTCAATTTTTCACCAACCCATTCATTGTATAGTGTTGTGTATTACATGGTTTGTTAGCTTTTTCATTTTTTTTTTTTTTAGTTTCTGTAGAATACCCATGAAATTTGGCATCATGGGTAAACACTTCATTTACTATAGATTTTTGACTTACACAATTATTGATTGAATTTACTTTGTTATAGGAGTAATATTAATGAAATTCAAGTTACCAACCATACTGATTATCATGTACCCAGTCCATACGTGGTAGGTAGGTAGTTTTTCCTTTCATTGATGAGCTGTGAATGTGATGCCCACCCTTTTTCTCTATCCATTTAGATTATAGCGGTGTTAGTAATCAAAACGACACCGAACCTTACCCACCCCTTCTCTCTATTTATTAAGTATATACCATGGTTTGGCGTTTGTTTGTTTCCCACGTTGAAGAATATAAATAAGAATTGTGTTTTTTTTTTTCCCTCCCCCTTCCACTTTGAAGCCAAGAATGGAT